AAAAAAAAAAAAAAAAAAGGGGGGGGGGGGATTATGGATTTAGCATCAAAATAGGTGCTGTCTTGCCTCTTTTACGGCTCCAACACCACTTCAAAATGCAGAAAAGGTTGCAAAACGAACAGGACTGCTACCTTGTCTCGGACCATTTCCACGCCGATCTGCAGTCCTTTGCCACGGACGTCCCCGATGATGTCATACTTGTCTCTGAGCTTGGCGAGTTCCATCATCAGGTAGGTGCCCACCTCCAGACTGTTCTGCTGCAGTCCTTCTTCTTTGATGGTCTGGACAAGCGAGTGGTCACGTCACATGTTAGATTGTGTTCACTGTAAAATACATTTTGTTCTTTGTTTGTTTGTTTTTTGCGGTGTTAGGCAGGAGACTATCGTGCACGTTATATCATTGCACATTTAATAAATACAGTATAAAAGAACAATTTCAACCTGGCCCAACTTCCTGAAATTGCTCAATTCATGCTTGATTCTCATGCTTGAGTTACGAGGAAGAGAATATTCTTACGTCAATGACAGATGAGGCGATGGAACAAGCCAATGGGTTTCCTCCAAAGGTGTTGAAATGAACACCCTGTGCAAAAGTGTCTGCGATTTCTATAAACAAGTCATAACATGATAACAGTTACACAAGGGGGGAAAAAAAATTGGTGAGAGACCATCATTTCTGTAGAAATTTGGTGTAAATGCTCAAGAGCTAAGCTGAATTGAACGGAAGCGAGTGCAGTGCGAAAAGGGGCTTTAGTCTTTCCTGTGCATCGGCAAACCGAACGCTGTTTAAAGTCGGCATGTGGCGTCATCTCACCCCGTGTTGTAACCACCGCTCCCATTGGGAAGCCGTTCCCGATGCCCTTTGCCAGGGTCACGATATCAGGAAGGACGTCGTGACCTTGAAATCCCCAGAAGTGGCTCCCCGTTCGGCCAAATCCCGTCTGTACCTATCAGCGCATTATTGGTACACTTGATCTCAATGAATGCCACAATATGTGGTGAAAATTGCCTGCGATAAGACCGTTAGCGTTGAGACTCGTTTTTCGAGCATGACCTTTTTTCTTAAGATACTGTTTGGGACATTGGTTCTATAAAAAAAATTAATAAAAAAAAAACAGACATATACGCACTATTTTGTGCTGATGAAAATGGCCTTTTTGTCATACATCAAAAAAACTTTCTAAGTTGGGGCACTCATAAGTTGCGCTAACAATGTAGCTTCAAACCTCATCAGCGATACAGAGCCCGCCTCGCTCTCTCACAAGTTTGTACGCCTCCTTCAGGAAGTGTTTTGGGTACTGCACGGCTCCACCAACTCCCTGCAAAAACAAAAACAAACAAAACAACAACAAAAAAAAAAAACAGTCAGTGCTTTAGTTTAATTAATGTCTTTAAATAAGCTTTAAATCCTTCAACTGCTGGTTTCTTTTGTGTGTGTGTTTATTATGTTTAGGTACAAGTACATGGCCATCTAACTTCCTGTTTCTGTTCAAGGTGCAAGTCTCTCCAACAACCTGTTCCTGTCCAAGGTTTTGCGCTGTTCGTGACTTTCTGACTTCCGGTTCCAGTCCAGGTGCAGCGCTCGTTGACTTGAATATTACAAGACATCAATTTTCTAATTTTTGTGTGTGTGTGTGTGTGTGTGTGTGTGTGTGTGTGTGTGTGTGTCCGTGCGCAAAAGAACACCTGGATAGGCTCAGCAAAGAAAGCAGCAATTCGACTCGGGACGCTGGTGAGAAACGTCTCTTTGAGTTGTTCAATGTAGTGTTCATTTGCCACGCAAGAGCCTGTGGAACACAAGCAAGACTTCAAGGTATGTCATTCTCCCGTTTCTGAAAATGAGGTCAATGATTGACAGTGGGAGATGATTGACAGCAGGAGACCTTGAGCGTCTCTTGTGTCGTCCAATTGCGGTGGTAAAAATGACCTTTACGCAGATTGTGAGATGGGTTAAGAATAGAACAAATTGACATTCAGCAATAATCAGGGTTGCCACTCTTTCCTTGAAATTATTTTCCAGGACATTTCGAGGACCTTTTTTTCCATGTGCTACAGTACAAGTAAAGTTATCACAACGTACACAAATAAATTCCGTCCCCGGGCCAAAAGTGACGGCACGCCCGCTTACTGCTCTCTGTCTCTCAATAGAGGAGCCAGAGAGGGGGCGAAAAACCTCACACTCGATATACCCAGCGATAGTAACACGCTTGAGCTGAAAGTTGCTAGTTTTGCCACTTCTTTGGGGAAAATAAACCTTCCCTTGGGTCTGAAAAGTCAGTACTGTACTCTATATCTAGCAACAAAGTCACATGGAAACATTGGGCAGCCCAAGTGTTGTAGGGGAATAAGCAATTTGATTGGTTGGTAGCGTCACATGGGGGCGCTGTGCTGGCTAAAAGCAGAAAAGCTCTACAGCTCAATGTTGCCCATTGACGGCAACTGAAAACAAACATGCTTGTCTGTTTAACCTGTTTGTGTTTACCCAAAAGGCAGGAGAAGCAGAGGGAGGAAAAACAATTCTGCAGGACAACTCAAAGCTTTTCCAGGACATTTCACTTCTGTTTCTTATTTTCTCTGCATCTTCCAAGACTAGAAAAATGGTTCAGTTACTTTCCAGGTTTTCCAGGACATATGGGAACTCTTATAATGCAGTGGTTTAAAAACAATATAAATGTTACTCAGTATGCTTGATTGAAGAGGATATATTGCTCATTTAAGCTTGAATTAAAAGCAGTGTAGTGTGAGCGTCATGTCTACCTTGGGCACAGTTACATTTTCTGGTGGTCTGCACAGGAGAGTCCCTGCAGTGGCTTCCCCCCCAGGGACCTCTGAACACATCAGGACACATGGTCTATTTGGTTTTTAGGGCAGAAAGCAAATCAGCAGGGTCCACAGCGTGCACTGTACACAGTCACACATGAGTTAAGGAGTCATGAAATCGAATAAAGCAATGTGCGCCTTTACACACATCTAAGTATTAGAACCACACAGAAAACTCCCTCATAAATGTCAATCAAATTGTAGATTAAAAATAACGTTGTATTGTTTTCATATTGTGGCGTTGAAAGGAAGTTAGTTGTACGTACATTTGTGCAGCCTAAGCCAATGGCGACAGGGTATTTGTAAGCTTGTTGTGCAGTCAGACCCATGGTCTGCGGACTACCTCCATGGTACGACCCCCTGCAAGTGAAAATGTCATTCAAAATTCATGACAAGGTTGTTCAACGTTTTATGCGCCTTGAACGCGATGTCCCTAAAACTAATGTTTTTTGTTTTTACGTCAGCATGAAATTTGCAGCCCAAGGAAAATAAAAAAATAGTAAAAATATTGAAAACCTTATCACGCATTGGAAAATTGTTACACTCAAGGACCACCTCGTTCGGTTCATACGCACAATCTATGAAGATATTAAAATCCAACAAGAGGGCAGATACCTGAAAGTGATGATGTCAAAGTTGCGAGTGTAGAGTCGGGCCATACACATGGCCAGGTCATTGGCCTCTGAGCCGCTATTGGTTAGGTAGATTACCTGCAGGGCGGAATGTAGCTCATCACCAGAGATTATAGTCATTGGCTCGTGAGTGACAGTATGTCGCTGCTTTGTGAGCTTGACCGTATCCAAACTTTGCGTACATGTTTGGGTTTGTTTACGCTTAGCGGTGGTCTGTACTTTGCTGAAAGCCATTCTAGTTGTTTTTCTGATTCGACATTTCTCTCCAAAGAAAAGTCTTTGCAGTACCTTGAGAGGATCAGGCAAGTTGGACGCTAGCTTTTCGCAGTACTCGTGGATGGGAGGATAAACATAGATGTTGGTGGTGTGTACCAGCGTCCTCAGCTGCTGCTCTGCGGCCGCCGTCACTTTTCTGCGCCCGCCACAAGTCAGCCGGTTTAACCGTCAAAAAAAAAAAACCAGCAAAAATGTGGCGCGGGAAAAAAAAAAGTCATCTTACGGGTGGCAGTGGCCCACGCTGACGGTGGCCACGCCGGCAAAGAGATCCAGATAGCGCTTCCCATCTACGTCCCATAGCCACTGCATGTGACCCTGATGGATGTAGACCGGCTTCTTATAGTAGGTCACCTTCATGGTCATGGGGTGGCAGTTTGTCCGACGGATCTCCATCATACGCTCTTTGGACATCCCCTGAATTTTCCCCAATGAAATGCCATAGTTACATTTGGCTGGCCAAGAGTTCACCATGAACCCACAACCTCTCACCCAACGTGAGCTGAGACAGGCTCCGTGCTAGCAGACTGCTTGTTGTCACCTTGTATTCTTGAGGTGTGAAGTTGCATGGCGGCATCTCCAACAGGTCTGCAGGAGCGGTTTTCAAGGCGGATTTCTGACACGACAGCCCTGCGGACGAACGGAGGTCATTGACGTTGTTCATTCAAAATGCATTGGAAGTGATACCATTTGATCTCCCTGTGCCTGTGTGGGTTTTTTTCTGGGTTTCCTTGGCAGGTTAATGGAATAATCTAAATTGTCCCTAGGTGTGATTCTGAGCGAGAATGTTTGCTTGTCTATGTGTGCTCTGCGATTGGCTGGCAACCGGTTCAGGGAGTAGTGCACCTACTGCCCAAAGACAGCTGGGATAGGCTTCAGCATGCCCGTGACCATTGTTGAAGATAAGAAATGGATGGATGGATGGATGAATGGAATATTCCAATTTGCTCCAGACAAAGTTCCAACATTAACTACCAAGTTATTCAACAAACCTTTTAGACAAGAGGAAATATAGCCAGTTTACAGTGTGTTTTTAATTTTCGTGACCAACAGTATGCAATGGTTCACCGGTCCAGTTATACAGTAACTATAGTTAGTTTTTTGCCTAACTCTGGTTTTTAAGGTTTATATATTCAAACAAGGACATGAACATTCTTCCCTGATTAGAGTCGCGCACAGGTGGACAGTACCATATGCTCGATGGAGTGGTGGGAAGTAACAAATAATAACAGCTTTGTAACTGCACACAAGTAGATTTTCCAGGTATCAGTGCTCTACTTGCATATGTATTTTTATGATGACTTTTCATTGATGACACGTCACCACAACAGGCTTTTTTTTTCCTACCTCCGTGGATGACAAAATGATGATCTGGCCCTCCAACATGGCAGACAAGCAAATACTGATACTGTGATTGAAAACTATCTATTGCATAAATAAATGTGCTGGGTCACAGTTTGTAATTCGTTCTGTACTAAGACAGGCTTGGCAGTTAAACAGCTAAATGAAATCTCGTTGGGCCAGGTTTATACCACAAATATGTTGTTGAGCAGCTTCTCAGACAGATATAAAGTTTAATAGGTGCACTCAGTTCAGTGGTTGCGCAAATAAGCTAAACTAAAAGAATATAATACACGTGGAAAAAAAAAAAACAAGATCGCCATAGCAATTAACTCACCTCTTGCTGTGTGGAATTTAATCATGCGGCTCAATGGCACATGATGACGCAAAGCCGTGAGCATTTTTTTCACAGCGTCCGAGTTCAACACGTTTCGGATGAACGTCACAAATCGTCTCTGGACAGTCTACCAGTTGTACCTGAAGCCTTCAAAAGAGTACAAGTTTTGTCGGGGTGCAGTGGAAGGCAGAAACTGAATGGACCTCGGCCATTGACCCGCGAGCGGAGGATGGCAGCCAAGTGCCACGTCTCGACCAATCAGGGTTGGTTGCGTCATCAGGAAAGCAGTCCATTTACCTCATAGAAACAGGTTCTTTTCTACGGAAGAGCATTGGGGCCAATAGAATTTAAAAAAAACCAAGTTTGGCAAGATACTCACTTTCGCTCATTAGATCAGAATGCTGACTTGAAAGTAAAATAGCGCTACAGCTCGATATTGCCCGTTGAAGGGACCTGAAAAAGAGACTGTGCACGTACTTTACATTTAACTCGTTTGCGTTCACCCACAAGGTAGGGAGAAGATGACGGAGGAAGAATCAACTTTCCAGAACAAATGAAGCTTTTCCAGGATATTTTTTACTTTATGTCATTTTCCATGTCTTTGTCATGTCTGGAAAATTGGTCAATCATTTTTCAGGACACATGGGAACCCTGAAATATCCAAATAAACTTTACATTGTGACATACACATTACTTCTGTACAAAAATAATCTACGAATGGAAAAACTGAGCAAGACATCCACATTTCTTTGAACACATAATTTCACATACAGTCCTCGGTATACAAAACTGCTTCATTCCTACTGTGGCCACATACATCAAATTTGTACGCTTCCCGATAAATGTTTGTTCGATGGTTATCAATGTTTTTTTCCCCTCACAAAATACATAAATAAAACCAAGAAAAAGCCTTGGAGGTTCCACTATACAAAAGGATTCATGAACATGCCATGACACACAACCTCGAAAATGATTCATTCCATCATTTTTTGCAAAAATTTTTTTGCAACAAATTCCTCATGTGACCTTTGTAAAGTCTTGGAGAAAGAAAAAAAAATCTGAATGTTATGGAGAAAAAGTCATAATGGTACATAAAGTCTTCACGTGGAGAAAAAAATACACGGATGGATTCCAATTTTTTTTGTTTTAGAAAGTAAAAAAAGGACAATTTTGTAAAAGAGTTATGATCCTCGAAAAAAATATATATATATTTTTTGGTGTATGAAAAATTGTGGGTCTGAAGTACCGGTACATGGAAATAGGAGTTCACAACATTCCCATCAATCCCATCCTGTTGAAGATGATAAAAATAACAATTACGAGATGACCTTGAATGCCCATCCCCGAAAAGGACCCTCAGTACGTTGTCATTGGGAAAGCGGCAGCTGCGTCGACGTAGCCACCCGTTGCCGTGGTGGAGTTCATACAGGTGGCGCTCTTCTGGCTCATATTGCCAGCCTCGCGCCCATCTGCCGTTCCCTCTGACACTTTCTGGAGCAGTAGCAGAGTGTCGTCGCTGCCCACCTGCTTCACCTGGCTGTAGTCCCGCTCCTGTAAGGAGTGCAGCGGGGTGCAGCCCTCCCTGCTCCCCCATGGCTGCAGGATGACCATGTCGTCATTCACAACCGTCTGCACGCCCACGTACTCCACGGACCAGCGAGCGGGTGACTCTTTGTGACCGGACACGGCGATATTGATGTCGCTGCGGGCCTTGATTTGCTTGCACACCTGCCCCTCCGAGGGCCCCAGAACTTGAGAGAGGCCATCTGAGAGGCTGCGCTGAGGCCGGTCTGGCAGACCGGGAAACACAGAAGGCCACGTCCTACCTCCCGTGTCTACTCGAGCATCTTCCCAGTCTTCCCGTTCGACCCGCTCCTCTGCGCTGTCTTCGTGCTCTTTGGGCCGGCCGCACTTCTCAATCAGCAGTGTGCGACTGTCGCAGCTACCCCGGCCCGAGTCGCTGTCAGATGTCGAGCTCTCCAACTTGAAGCTGCCGCCACCGAGGTCCTTGCTCGCCCCCAACATGTTCTCCCTTTCTTCTGGGATGTAAACCTCCAGTAACTCCACCAGCAAGTCCTCGCTGTTGGACGACGACGACCACGACATGGGAAAGTCTGACACCACTAGCGCGTTGAAGATGTCTTCGGATTTTCCTTTCTGCATGGGAAGAATCAATTCTCCGTTATGCAAAAGCTGGCAATTTTCAGCTTTTTCCCCCTTGTCCCTTTTTTCACATAACTGGCGTTGACCAGACATCGGGGTACAGTAAAAGGCACTGACAATGGGTGGACAAAGTGGACACAGAGGCGGCAGTGATGGCAGTTGCGAGGAGATGTTGGGTGGGGGGGGGGGGGTACCTACGAGTAAAGTCACTGTCCGCAAAAGACAGCAATTTTCCAGCTTTGTTCCACGTCAACACGGAATGGGGGAGAAAGTCGACTGCAATTTTAAGGCTTTCTCGTCAAGTCACTAAAAGTATTCGTAAAAGCACTTTAACACTGCATGTATAAAAGCTGCCGTTGTTCAGCCCTCATTTTGCTTTTTTTATCAATTTTTTTTTTTTTTTTTTTTTTTTTTTTTACCAAAGTGTCTGTGTGTGTCTCAGGTGGGTGGTATTAGAGTGGTCGGGGGTGGTGAGAGTGGGGGTTGTCGACCCAAGTCATATCTACTCTCACTGTGTAGAAGGTAAAGGCAGGTGAAGTATTCTGCTATGGCTCCGATGTATACCGGTAGATGTTGTAGGATCTCTGTGTACCGTGCATTGTGTTGAAAGAGAAAAGTGGCTGTTACCTTTAGAAGCTGCTCATCGAATCCTTTTATTTTAGGACCAGGGACCGGTGGTAGGAGGCAGTGTTTCAAGCTTCAAAAATAAAGAGAGAAACATCAGAATCACAACAATGGATGGATGCTTTTTTTTTCCTTTTACCTGCCATGGTTCATGTGCAGCAACCACGTGATGATGAGGAAGATGAAGGCACAAACAGCAGTGGTGACGATCCACGCTGACTTTTCCTGGTGGAAATCTGGATGTACAATTCAAAAGAAAACTCCTGTCTCTCACTGATATTTTGCCTTTTTTGGAGTCTACACTATATTGTACATTAAATCCAGGTTACAAAAAAAAAAAAAAATCTTTATGATTGCCGCAGTGGCTAAGTGGTACGTGTGTATGTGACGTCTTACATTCAGGAAAACGGATTTGGGACGGCGAGCTCCAGTCGCTCCAAAAGCCGTGGTCGGGTTTGCAGCGCACCTGCACAAGGTACAAGCCGCCGGAGCGCAGGCTGAAAATGTTGAACAGCTTCTGCTGGCCAGCCACATGAGTCTGAACACACGCAACACAGCTTTTTAAAATGCATTCAGATTAGATTCAAAACTATTGAAACTTGTCATTTTTACATCATCCCGCGAACATCCAAATCAAAACAATACCTCCCCCTATTGGTGCTTTTTGCGCTTGGCGCCGGTAAAGATCTGAGATAAAAGCACATACGACACAAAACAGGGATTTTATACAGCATCCTAATCCGAGGGACCAGCTGGCATTCGGACTGACGCGTTGGAGCTCAGGTTTCACCCATTGGCCGCTGCCTTGGAAACACCCCTCGGAACGGCCGACTCCAAGCCAATCAACGCCACAGGTTGCAATAACATGGACAAAAGGTTTCCTGTACGTACCTCCCATTCGTTTTCTCCCTCCGACCGGATGCGAAGCTCGTAGATGAGTGTGATCCAGCCGGAGCGAGTGTCGGCCTTGCGGGGCGGCGCCCAAGCCACTCGCAGGAAGGGCCAGCCTTTGTCCTCCATGACGCTCAGCGACACGTTCTCCGGAGGGTTGGGCTGCACTGCAGAGGAATAGAACACCCCAAAATGTACAGCATCAAAACATTTCCAGGGGGTACGCTCCGGGTGTCGCGTTTTGTTGTTTCAATTCGTTACATTCAACGATAATGTCGGCGATTGAGAAGATTGGGCCTAAAGACCCATTTGAGGTTAAGCGGCCCCAAGGACACGACTCCTTACCGATATAGACCACGTCGACATCCACGGAGTCGGAGAAGGTGCTGCCCAGTCGGTTGGTGGCCACCACTGTGATGTTGTAGTTAACCCAGATGGACGTGTTGTTCTTGTTGAAGAAGCACGAGTTCTCCCCGCCCGTGAAGTAGTCGGGGCACTCGTACATGATTTCGGAGCTGGAGACAGGAGGAGTGGGTGGGAAGGGAGCACCGGGTAACCAATTAATGATGACTGATTACAGGTATGGGGGCCGGGGGATTAATGCTGCAGTCCCTGAAAATGAACAAATAAGCACATATAATAAGGGGCTCAAGATTCAGTGGCTGGAGGAATACATCCAGTATGTGCAAATTGCCCAAAGCCATTGAAAAGCACAAAGTCGGTGGTAAAACACTAAAGAATCCATTTGCCTCAGAATAATAGTGGCGTAATTTCTGAAGTCCATTTATGCGCGATCTTTTATGTTGGTAGTTTAAAGCCATAGTCAAAGGGTGGAAGGGGCTAATTGTTATCACATAATTATCTTCAGGCAACAGACAACGCAATACTTCCCCCATTTACTTTATTGACTAGACAATAGAAAAAAATTGGAAGTACTGACTTTTCCTTGCGGTAGTACAGCGCGTACGTGGTAGGCAGTCCTCCATCAGAAGCAGGCTGCCACCAGCACGTGAAGGTTTCTTTCTCCGGAGAGCGACAGCTGGTCAGCGTGGGCTTCCCCGGCCGACTGAGACCACCTTACAGGCCGACAGGCAGGAAGTTTTAGAATCAGTGGGACCCTCGACATCTATTTTTCCTTGTGGTCAAGTGTCTAACCAAATGTCTTTGGTTATGGAATGTACCTTTAGTGCGTGGTGTGAGAACCAGCAGGAGCAGCCAGGTCAACTCCTGAACGTTCCTCATCGCGGCACGACACACGTGAGGGCTGCAGGAAGGATAGATTAAGAGGAAAAAAAAAGGTCATATTTTGAGAATAAAGATTTACTTTGCATGACGAAAAGCCTTAGGCAAGCCTTAGTAATAATGCAGATTACTGCCACCAACTGCCTGCATGTCTGCAATGCACTGGGCTGTCTGGCATTTTACATCTCATCTCCAATGACTCCATGTAAGATGCGCAAATTCACATATTTTGGTGGGGGTCCTATCATTCATTATTGACTGAAAATCTTACATATTTTTCATTTTTGTGCTCTGGCCAAAGCAAAAAAAAAAATTTACTTTGCTGCCATACTTGGTGCCAAGAAGCTATGTTGACATAACATGAGGAGCTTCACTTTGACAAAAGTTGTACTTTGCCGCCACCTTGTTGCATGTACAGGCCATTTTTAACAAACTGAGCAGAATGTCATCCTTCTAATGAAACAGAGCAGAATGAGCATCATATTCATCATCTATACTGTGTTTCCCTCTTCGTCAGGGGTTACGCCAAGGATTAAATATGAAAATAAATACAATCCTCTCCAGTTCTGTCTACCTCTACCAGCTGGCACATGCGGTCTAAGCCATTGCATAAGCGGGCAGCAATCTCTTAGCATTGCTAGTACACAGCGTGACCCTTTTCATCTCTGAACCCGCCGAGAGGCTGACCCGTAAAATATCTCGCTAACTAGAGGAAGCACATCTGGCGACATGGCGGAACACGTGCCTTAACCCACTGAACGCCAACCATGTTTTTGGCTGAAGCGGGTCGCAACCACAACACGGCCCTGCTTGTCTGATGCTATCATACCTGTTGAGCTCACCTAGAGCTTCGCTTAAACGCTCTTCCCTGGTGGTGTCTCGACAACGTCGCCATGATCTGTTAATTGGCATTAAGGTCATGCCACCGGATTAGCGTCCTGCTGTATATAGAGGTGCTTACGTAACGGGAGGGCCCGCACCCAATAAGCTGCTAAGAAGACAGGAGACTGCCATGAAACAGTCAACTGTGAAGCCTTTCAATGCTGTTCAGGGACGTGTTGCACCGTGTTAAATGTAACGCCGCTACATAAGTGACCTAATTTTCACTCTGAAGTATATCCCGAGTGACATCAGGGCTAATTGTAGTCTACCGTTAAATATACATTTCAAACTGGATTTGGATTTTTCTTGTATGTTGTAATGGTACACTCGCCTGACTTGTGTGCATTCAGGATGGGGTCGGTTCGCAGTCATGAGGGTGTTAATGTGGGTGTGAATGGTTGTTTCTCTCCATATGTGCCCTGCGACCAGTTCAGGGTGTAGTCCACCTTTCGCCCAAAGTCAGCTGGGATAGGCTCCAGCACCCTGCCGCAACCCTGTTCAGGATAAGCGCTGTTGAAAATGGATGGATGAATTTTTCATCTGTTGGATTTCTATGTGTTCAGTTCAGACTGACGATGATGGACGGGTACCCAGGCCACAACGTGAATATTCCAGCCACTATTTGCAGTCATAAGAGAAACTGCATATTGGCGTAATTGATTGAATGAAATCCTCTTTGCAACATTACTGCCCGTAAGTGTGCTGAAATGGACTTCCTTCGGCCTGCGCAATGAAGGACTCGTGTAGCCACAGTTATGACTCAAGTGCTTCTATACATAGTTAAAAAGGCAAGCATTTTGGTTGCTTACTTCCTTCACTACTGTTTTTTTTTTCTCCTTGAGAAGCTCGTTTTGAGACGTCTGTATTTTTGTTCATTGGCAAAAGCTTACAATCAATGAATGGGGAAGGCAGCTGAATGCCCTTTTCTTTGAGTCGCAACCTTGTAAAACTGTAGCAGTACAAGCCCGCACTCAAGCACTCTGGAATGCAATCAGCAGCAGCCCATAAGTCACCATAAAAGGAAAATTACATGTCAATCATGAACGAATACAGTTCTAAGCTATGTCAAAGCCATCGTTGTATTACATTTGGCCATTACCACTCAGTGGAAATTCATTTCAATTGTAAAACAAAGAGCAATATTTCCTCTTGAAAATTTATTTTTAATCATGTACGACATTTGTCCTCCTCCATAAAGGTGTAAACAGGCATTTACACCACTGAAGGTCCTGGGCAGTTTCCATTCACATGGCAACAAAAAGGAGCTGAAATCCGATTAGACAAAATAAAAATGTAACACTGCTGCAAACTGGGCAGGCTGTGAAATGAAGAAATAGATTCATGTCATTTTATGTCAGATGTAAATCGAGGTCAATGCTTCTAATAGTGTTAAGGCCAGCCGAGAATGGCTTGAAGGCCTTGACCGCACGCCACTGATATATAGATACACGAAGAAGAATAAAGTAAGAAAAAATAAAATCACATGTATAAGTTTAAAAAAAAAGTTAAAATGCCAGATCGATACAGACAGGTACCAGTAATGGCATGTGAAAAAAATGCGATGATGATAGTAAAATACAGTTAATTGAAAAATACACAAAATAAATTAAATAGAAATTGACGAAACTAACATTTACACTTGCATGACTGTTGCCCTTTGCCTGTACAAAAACCCAAGTTATGGTTTATTAAACATTCTATGCTGTGCTATTGACAATGCTCTGCTTGCGTGACCTAACGACAAGCCTGGCTCAAATGCACGCCATATACTGAATAGTATACGTATATCAGGTCCGTTGTAGTAACAATGGAAAAGTTTTCTAATGTAATCCATTATGGACTTCATCGGCTTGTTGCTATGACAGCCTAGACTGTCTCACCCTGAACCCGCTTGAAACAGACTCAAGCAAACGCCAGGGACACGCAGATCACGTCCACGGAAATCCCATTATGGGATCTATTGTAAGGCTTTCAAACATATTAAATGACAATTCAGCATTTACTAAAGATTATAATACTCACTTTTGAGTGACACTGTTAGAGAGCCATTTGTTTAACACTGTTTTTTTTCTTCAATTCATAATATTCGTTAAATACTCTGTCTACTGCCTTTTGGGAGTTTATATTTGATGAACAATATTTTCTTTAAATATTTGATGCACTATATTTTATTTCTAATTCATATTTATATTTACTTTTTAAATATTTCTATTCTGAGCTATTTTTTGCAATTAATATTTCATTAATAATAGCTTTAAAAATATGTGTGCACTATATTTTACATGTAGTTTATATATATAATGCATACATTAGTAATATATATATTTCTAAATGCATACATAAATCTTTTTTTTCAACTGAAACACTCCAAAAAAAGCTTTACATTCACTTAACAATATTGAATTTCAGCGCACAGATGCATGCACCTTCGACAGCCGGGTAGGAGCCCATTCGTTAATCCTGTAGAATATATTTAAAAGATGTAAATAAATCAAATTTTAAAATTAACTTACCAGTCAGTCAATGTCTCAGCATGTGTTTTTGTAAGCTGGTGATGGCACTCCACACAAAAGCAGATTGGTCCAACTAAATCTGCCCGAAGGCGAGGCGGACATGAGGGGTAGAACCGCGCGGTTGGTTCAGCCCTTGGTGTGGGAGGAAACATCGCAACATCCCTTCACCTCCCAGTAAGGGAGGGGTGGGAAGGAGAGTGCCCTTGTCACAGCCAATACTCGTAGCTGAAAAACAACAATTTACAACAATTGTTTGTATAGTACAGTATAACACTGCTGCTGAATGGAAATAAGGCCACAACAAATAAATGACAATTGTTTTTGAAATACTGCAGTCAAGTATACACTTCAAATAGACTTTTCTTTATCCCTCTAGGAAACAAATCAAAGGTGTTTGCCCCTTGGTCGTGGCATCTGTAAAGCTGATGGTATGTGGCGTGTGTGTGCGTGTGTGTGTGTGTGTGTGTGCGTGTATATATATATATATATGACCAAAAAAAAAACAAAAACTACTCTAAGGGAGCTTTTCAACCACTGAGCGATGGCCTTGTGGCAATCTCTGTGGTTCAGCTGTGGTTGTAAGCAACAGTGTTATATAATAATGCCATCTGCTCTCCCCTCCGTCCATATAAAAGTAAATAGCAGGATGGATGCCACTGCAAGGCCCCACTGGTTTCCTGGATGGATGGATGGATGTCAATAGTTTCCATTCCATTTCCTCCCTGGGCCTGACATGTTTTGACAGGTTACTCGGCGTTAATTCTGTTACATTACAACAGTGTTCATAAATATTGTAAGACTATGCCTGGTGATTATTAGTTTTCGTTGAGGGAAAAGAAAGGGGTTGCGATGATCTTCATTTTCGTATGCTTTTCGTGATATATTTTTAAATATTTAAAGTGATAGTTTTGCGCAGAACCTCCATATTAACTTCGTGGTGACATATTGACATCTAGCGGCCAAATTAGTCATTGAAAAGACAGCACGGTCAACCACGGCAGTCCCATCATTCATTCTTTTTTTACATGACACATTTTTCACATGTCGTCAGTCACACCTAAATAAATGTTCAATATTTTGTGAAAACGACAAAAAAACACGTTTTTAGAAAAAATTGTTTTTTCTTGTTTTCCAAAAATATCGAAAAATGACGTGCAAAGTTATGCTGTGTGGCCGACGATATGTTTTTATAAAATGCACCGGACTGCAACGTGGCTTGTTTGTGGGCCTTACACGCTGCCAATTTTTTTTTGTAGGTACAACACATTCAATGTGGAATTTACATTTAAAGAAATACAGCATATGCAAACCAATAATAGACAGTAAAATAATGTATGTATTTACATAAAATCTAATAGGACAAAACAGCAAAAGATTAGATGACTACAATTTAACATTAAATACAGTCACTAGTAGTGACTATAGTGAGTCCGACTCACTACACTGATCGATAAACAAAATACTCAAGAGGCACAAACTTTATTGACAAAATGCAAACATAACGGAAGTGGGTGAGACCACTCCACTTTTGAAGAGATCCATTTAATTACTAATGATAAAACATGTCATATAAAACAAGTATATTAAACGTGATGGACGTGTTTATTCTTATAGATATCCGCCGAGTCAGAAATCAAAACCACCAGCAAAACATGTAGACATGATTTGGCACGTGAGAATGTAACTGAACAAGCCAAGTAAACAAAGGTACTTATAATAATCATAAATAACACGTATTATTGCTCCCATCTTTAACGGCATTTAGAAGTACTGGACTGCAGAACTTTTTGTTCAGGGTCCCACACCGACTTGAACCTCTACCATATTTCGCCCACATACATTAAAATGTCGGATCCCGTTGGCCAGGTGTTTTAAGCCCCGCCCACGACCTGTGCACTTCGAAGGCATACAATAGCAAACTCCTTTTATTTGAATATTTCATTATTTGTACACGTAAGATGTTATTTGTGGTGTTTAAGTAAGATACGTCGCAAGTCACAAATGGGAATCTATTCCAGCTCCACGCCCCTCTTTACATTTTAACAGGCCAGCTGTAATGGCGAAATAACTCGACGGCGCCACCGATTGGTTGACACCGCCAACAATCACGCATACCCGGCAGGTGATTGGCCACGTCGCTTCAAAGTCAAGTGTCACAGCGTTTTCTAGAGGAGGGGATGTGAGCGTTTGACAAAAGCGATCTTGTCCCTGACGAAACATATTTGGACAGTGGGAACATACACAACGCTAGGCCGTGTTGTGGAATCGTAGTGGGATCTTGGAAGCTCAGTCAAATCTTATCTCAAGAGCGGAATTAACCACCACGTCGCGACACGAGAGGCAGGGGAGCAAAAAGTGGGATTTAATTGTTCGAGGCTAGCTAGCTAGCTCCGCCTCGCCTCCTTTAAGCGGCGATTTGTTGGCACCGCCGGGCTATATGGCTACGAATTACGAGCCGATCTACGGACTGTCAGAAGATGAGGTAAGCCATGTCCCTTGTGCAGCGAGACAGCCGCACGGATGCTGCCGATGCTAACGGCGGCCAAGCTAAGCAGCCCTCAACCAAATACCATAGTAATGTTGAGGCAGCTGTCTTGTTTCCCCGAAAACCCTCCTCGTTCCTTTTCCTCCGCTTCCGCGTCTATTAATGCACCTAAATAATTAAATAAAATAATCATAATAATAACAGCAAACAAATTCTTTCGGTTCAATTAATGAGCCACTCTCTCTCTCCTCCATTCGGTAATACAGTATAAGTGCACACATGAGACCTTGTTGTTTACATGGGGTATGTAAGAGAACAACTGTTTTGGTAAACAATCACTGAAGAAATACATATGTCTACAAATGTGAAGTTAAAACACATTGTTGACGCGTAACCCCAATGGGAGCTGCCCCAACGCTGAATCAACAGGCTAGCCGCTAGACGCTTTGGGACAGGTGCTCAGCTGTATTTGCCCATTGGTACCATCAGTGCAGTTAGTAAACAATGTGAGAACTAAGTACAAAGACACACAATATCAGTTCTTATATCCGGACAAAATACAATAAGTCTAAGAACACAGAGAAAATATTTTAGATGGACCGCATGGGTCAAATATAAGAAATTGAGATTCCTACGTTTTCTAGACCGACCTTAAAAATCCATCCATCCATCCATCCATCCATCCATTTTCAAGTCAAGTCAAGTGAAGCTAAGTACAACTTTATTGTCAAATGCCCTGTATGTGCAACATACAGCACAGATAAAATGTCTTCCCTCTCAACCAGACAACAAGAGGAACCGCTGCGGGTGCTCGCACCGCTATCAAAAGAACAGTTAACATAAAATGACAAAATAATACAACACAACACATAAGACACAGACAGTCGTGCAATCTGAACCACTTTTCCTGCATACACCTTGTTGTTTGAAACAGTTATAGATGAAAGAGGAGTGAATCAAAGTGTCCTTTTCACCAGTGGAACAAAGACGCCATGCTGAAAATGTGCACACGTCTGCTACAAGCTAGGTTTGAAAGCAACAAGAAGCTGTAGCGCCCATTAACGAAAAAGAGATTGGCTCTTATCTCCTGTCCCATGTAAATCCGCATCAATTCCAATCCGCGACTACCAGTTCCACATACGCATCGGCGATCTGCGCTGACGCTCCTTTCTTCTCATCGTCGGCTCCTCAAGCCATGCATCCCTCCAGCCGCAGACTGTCCAACAACACATTTTCTTCCGCTTATAATATTTGCCATAATCAGCAACATTGAAATGAATAAAAAGGCTAGCGCTTTGTGTGTGGCGGCTGCGCGCCCCTTCCAGCAACACTTTCTCACGGCCCTATTATCTACTGTACTATGATAATAATTCAGTTTTAATTGAGAGTGTAACGGGATTTATATTATTGAGATGTTAGATGTGCAAAGGTAGCTTTCAATGAATTCACCTAATTGAATATCATTCATATCATATAGTCTATTTATTTAACTGGATTTTGAAAGCTAGCAGGACTCAATTGTTTAAGTCGTATTTTACAAGCTCAGCGTTGACCTTCTGTCAGTCATTATGAGAAAGTAGCAGGACGTAGGCGTGCCATTCATTCTACCGCATAGTGAAATCTATCAAGGCTTGGCTCCCCTTCAGTCATTCAGTGCGCCGTAACCACAACACGACAAATTGTCCCAAGACGCCGGAGGCCGTAAAATCCTTCTCCGCCGGTTCAGTAACGTGACACCGGTTGCAAGTAAAAGCTGAATCATGTTGGGCCTTTGGTTACAACTGTGCCAAAGTGCCTTTTTGGAGGCAAAAAGGGAAATGTGTGATGATAAAACTGCCACGCACTTTTTTTTTCCAGAACAAAGCTCAGAGAAGTAAATTATGGTGTGATAATGTAGCACTTCGGTTGGCCTGCCGCAGTTTTATTTTAGAACTAAAATGCCTTGTGTTACAGGCCACATTTATTTGAAAGAATGTTTCGAAAAGCATGCAGTTGGATGTTAAAAGTAGTGGCAAGTTGTTCAGAGGTGAAACCATGTTCAAGAAATGTTTGTGTTTCGTGTTATTGAACTCTTTCAAGTCGAACACATGTTCATTTGATTCTGAAGCGTATTGGGATGATCAAGTGTTTTTCTTTGTTTTGGTGAATACCGAAATGGTTCTTGTGTCAATCAGGCTATTAAAACAAAACAAAACTGTTGATTGTGTCTGTCTTTTAAATGTGTCATTCATCCCCCATTATGACTCACCATCACGCCGTCACTGTGCAGTGAAGGGATCTTTATTACAACTACGTGTATTATCTGGGTCAGGGTTATTATTGCATGAAAGGAATGCCTGGTGAGAGTCGCCAATGGCACTCAAAAGGGCTAATTTTTCTGTTGCCTTTTTTCCCCCCGCAGAATGAAACCAGAGTGCTGCGTGTTAAGGTCATCGCGGGAATCGATCTGGCCAAGAAAGACATCATCGGAGCCAGGTGAGGTTCACTGGCTATTATTCATCAGACATATGTGGTTCGGGTTTTATAGGTCACTCGTGGATGCGCCATTTATTCACCAAACCACCGAATTATGGTTGTCAATCACTGAAGCAATGTGCCAGATGACCTCGCCTAACACATGTACCCTCATACGCCACACACTGACAACTAAGCTAGTTTACGGTAACGACATCAGCTTCCGTTTACCAGACGTGTCCTGAGACCATCTGCTCGGTACCTCCGGAAGTGCAA